CACGGACACGGACACGGACACGGACACGGACACGGACACGGACACGGACACGGACAATCTGCTGAAGGTTCCCGGCCACAGCCGTGCCGGGTACCGGGCACGGCTCTGTCACGTTGCTCGGAGAAGCGGCGCGGACTGGAGGAACAGCAGCAGCATCATGGCCACAGCTCCATCAGTGGCAAATGGAGCATGAAGGGAACACGATACATAAACACAGATTTCTTGGGTCAAATCCTGGTCCTACAGAACTGGAAGTGCTACCTACCCGTTTTAATGGATTCTGATTCAAACAGATAATTTTCTGCCTGTTTTGATTTTACTGAGATAGAATTTGGATTGACCTAACTGGCAGTGCCAGCTTTTTTTCCCATTCATTATCAGAAAAAGAATCCCTGTTCTTGAAAAACAAGTTTGGAATTTGGAAGGGAACAATGCTAATAACAAGTAATGATACCAGTCTTATAATTCTATTCAAGCCTTAAACATGGATAACAGGAAATTAATCATTAAATGCAATATTAAAGCTCTAAGTAATTATCTAACAAAACCCAGCTTTGGTATAAGAAAAAAAATATTTAAATTCATGTATAATTTTCATTTTCTCTAAAATTATCATATATGTGATGTATAAACCTTGAAAACTAATATTTGGTTTATGGCATTACCAGGGACTTGAATTCACATTCCACTTCACTTTCAGAATTAGTGTATTTCTATAAATGAGGCTCAGCTACTCCTTATCTTTATATATAAATGTATTTATTTTATAAAAGTTTTGATTGCTGCTCAAAGAAGTACAAGACACAGTAAACTGCAATAAGAGAAGTTATTTACATGAATTCCAGGATGTTGGTATTGATGACAGGCATAATGAGGAAACCCTGCTGGATGCCTCCAAGTGCTCTTGTTTCCAACTTGAAGACTGCCTAAAATTTTTGTTACTCAAAATAAGAGAGTCATGATAAAAGCTCAAAATATTGCCAAGATTTAAAATTTAAAATGTTAATAAGCAGACACTGACTTATTGTGGTGAAATCAAGTCCAAACTGACTATGTGTCTCATGGTAGGCCTTCCATGGGGGCAGTTCCAGGGATGCTCAATCTCACCCATGTGGGTGATCAATTTTCTCATTTCCTGCACATTCAGTGCAGTTCCAATCATCACCTGCAAGCAAAGGAAAAAAATGAATTCTTTCCTTTTTCCATTTGCCAGCTGACACAGACCAGAGCAGTACTTCAGCATTAAAGGCATTAAAAATAAAAACCACCTTCAATCAGACAATCAGAAGACAAAACACAGCTAACAGTGGGTTCATGAGTGCATTAGTTTGGAACAAAATAAAAAAACTAGCAGAAATATTTCCCAAGGTACACTATATGAAAACATGAGGGACAGAAGGGAGGATATTAGCTGTTGACACTCAGCAGTAAATAAACTTGCCCTGCAATACCCATGCAGATAGAGCCACCTGCACTACATCAGGAAATGGATTTATTTATTTATTTGAACACAAACATCAAGTGCAGTACTTACAGACTTCCTGCAAGCTCGAGAAGCAAACATCTGCCTGACCCTGGAGGGCCTGCACATCACTCCAGGGCAGTCACTCAACATGAAAATCAGCTCATCTATGTCTTGTGGCCCAAAAGTCCAGTTTTTACTGGTTGGCAATGATACCAATTTAACTCTTTGAGTTACAGGAGCTGGAAGGTTTGCAATGACAATAAAGAAACAGAGAAGTACAAGAAATTACTTCTTTCTTGAGAGAAAAGCTGAGAAAGTACTTTAAAATGTTATTATGATGTGATGTGCATATATACTAATGTTTAATCTTTTGACAGATGTAACTAACTAACCAAAGTGGTAACTATGGCAGATGTCCTTTTAACATCAACCAAACTCACCATTTTCATTTATGACAAAATCAAAGCCATTTTTTCTGAATATTTCCAGGTTTTCAATCAATATAGTTTCATTTACTGCTGTTAAATTGAGATTTTGAGGCCTGAAAGAGAGAAAAAAAGATGGAGCTGCATAGATACACAGTGCAGAGCATTGAAGACAGATTTCAGAAACAACCTAGAAATACTTAAAACAGAGCTCTGCAGTAAAACTTTTCACTCTGCTGTGTGAAAAAAGGAAATCTCACTAGATAACAGTTGCTTCCAAGTGTTACTCAGCAGGTGAAGTCAGCTGGGCAGCATTCCTTGCTGCAGGAACAGTTTCCAATATCCTGCCAAATGGGGGAAATCTGTTTGGCCACTGACTCTGCACAGCTACAGCTGCACCCATGGAATTTGTGTTTCATGTAAGGATTGACTCTTGGAAACACAGAATATAAAAACCACTTGAGTCTCAAGTGTTCTGAATGTGTGAAATGCTACATAAATATAAATCACAGATATCCTTCTGAAACATTGAACTCAACTTAAAACATGTTATTGTTAAACACTGAGAATACTTACACTATCAGCTTCTGACCTTGGAGAACAGTGTGCTGTTGCAACATCTCAAAGTTGTATTTCTCATCAGTAGCATGCTGGTCAATTATGAAAAGATCAGAATTCAGCTTTGCTATAATAAACCCTAAATTGAACTGGCCAATGATTTCCATTTTTGCAAACATTTCTTTACTGTATACAAAAAAAAATATAAAGAGATTATGAATTAGACCTTTATCAGTTATCATGTAAAACTTAAAAACTTCTGTTTCTCCCCTGCAGAACACACTTTATATTTAAAAAAAAATCTTATTTAAGCAGGATATAAATGTTGAAAATCTGCCAATAACCTATGAGGCCATTTCTGGCAGAACAAAATCCAGCAATAAGACAGGTTCCCCCCATTTGTGATAACAAAATTGGAAGCAGGCAATATGGCAACAGCCCAGGTAAGTAACACTGAAGATGGCAGGGTGGTTTTGAAGGCAGCTGACATGTTTGCCTTCTTTTCACTATTAAAGACTTTCCTAACACATTTTTTAAACTCAAATATTAACAAATCACAGACACTGACTGTCCCCTGACCACCTGAATGTAACTTTATTTTTCCAGGGATGTCTCACCAAATTTCATTCACGTAAGGGAGGAATATGAGCTCTGCAGTCTTTTCAGTGTGCTGTCGTGACATTTGGTGGTTCTCTGACTGAGCTGCAATTTAAAAGGCTGATCTAAGCCAAATCTTGAGGGCTCCAAGGCCACATGAAGTTTGTGGCCTTTTTAGTGCCTTTTTTTCCACATTCTGTTTGCACTTGGTTCAAGTAGCTGCTCTGTCACTAAAATAACTCATCAAATAGCTTTTTTGTGACATTAAATAAAAAATAGACCCAAACCTAGCAGGTACATGTAAGCCTCTTGCCCACCCTCAAGACAGGTCTTATATTTTTGCTTAACTAATTTTATTAACTGAGGAGTTAAATACATTAAACAAGTGAAAGCAGAAATACCTGATCTCTTTTCTTAATTCATCTTCTGCTACTTTATTGTCCCCAGGACTAATTTTTGCTTTAAATCTTCTGTAATTTTCAGTTTCTGTATTTTTCTGTTGTTGCTGTATTACCTTTTTTACTTTTTCTGCCAAGACCTTCATAGAGAATTCAAGAGGCACAATTTTCTTTTTAACTTCCACCAGTACATCAACACTAGTGTTCTTCACTTCGGGATATTTACCTGCCTTGGAATCATCTGTTTCACTTTTAAAGTTTCTGCTTTTAAAACGTTTTACTCTTGGGGAACAACCATTTGCTTCTTGAGAAAGCTTGTTTGGATCAGTCCAGTCATTCACTTGATCCAGCTCAGGTTCAGTGCCCAAGACCTGAACATCACAGTCCAGTGATTTCTTACTGCACCCAGCAGTTGTAAGACATTCCTTCTGCATCTGTTCTTCTGTGCTACAGAATTCTTCCTCAGAATTAACTGCACTTTCACTGTTGATGCAGCTTCCAGCTTCTGGTGTACTACATCCAGCATCTGACTCAGAAATACTGCAGAATCCAGAATCTGAAGCATCTTCTAATTTTCCCAAGTGTCTCCTTGGAACTGACACCCCTGAGTCCAACTTCTGACAACTTTCAGCCTTCTTAGTCAAGAGAGCCTTTTGAATCTTTACAGTCCCCCCAGTGAGATCAAGTAACCTTTGTCTAGGGGAACTGTGCTGCTGCTTTACCTTTTTAGAGCTTTGGAAATTACTTTCTGTTGCTTGATGGAGAGAGAATGACTCCCTTAATCTGGCAAGAGTCATTATTCTTTTGCCTTCACCACTTGGACTCTCGGTCTCAGAGTCAGACAGAATGTCTGCCTGAGGCCTTTCTGCCTCTTCAGGAAGTGTCTTCTTCAAGTTACCTAATGAAATCACAATGCAGAGCATTTCAAGATTCTAAGTTAGCTGGAAACATGAATTAAATTATGTACTTTAGGAAAAGGAATGAAAAGAGGTAGAAAAATAGCAAAGTGCCCAAGGAGCCCTGAAGCTTCAGACAATGTGTATAGGGCTGAAATGCATTAATATCAAACAC